ACAGGCATCTGAGATCGGCTTGATTTGAGAAAGGGGTAAAGATTTTAGTAGATTAAAAAAAAAACACTGGGTGGATTTTTATCATTATAGGGTGGTTGTGTACACACACTGCCAACACACATTTCAGTTCAAACTATTTGTAAAAGTGCATGTAGCATCGGATGACCCCTTTAAGAACCAACCATTGAAATACTCATATTGGTCAATAATCTGTCTCCTCAATGCATATGGTGGGTAATGTTGTCACGATGTTTGTTTAAAGAAGTTTACCATCTATATTTCATATTATATAATAGTTTCATTACTGTATGATATATAATTTTAACAAAATCATGCATCAGTGTAGTTATGCCTTCAGATTTCAAATTAAACAAGACATTTGTAGTAGATTTTGAGTTCCTCAGACCAAAAAGACCACAGTGATATGGACATTTCCAAGGTGACCAACACTTACCCTATAGTAGTCGGTGCTGTACACATCTCTGGACATGCCGAAGTCTCCTATCTTGACAAGCAGGTTCTCTCCCACCAGGCAGTTGCGTGTGGCCAGGTCTCTGTGCACAAAATGCTGTGAGGCCAGATACACCATGCCTGCTGCTATCTGCTGAGCAATGTGCAGCATCTGAGGCTGAGTTAACTCCACCAGCAAACTGTGCTGTCCGTCTGCCATCAGCACCGCGTCTGGACCATGAGCCCTGTAAGAGAGAGTATGGGAATAGCATGTGTGAAACTGAACATTGTTGGACATCAGAAAGTGGACAACACACAAACACATTTTGCTTAGCATTTAAAAAGTATAGCTAAACGTGTGACAATCATCATCTAATCATGTAAAGCTATATTCAGTCTTTCAACTTAAAGACTTTACAGATCAAATGAACAAATAATCCATGCAAGCTTTTTATTATGAGCTTTTACTGCTGGAGACACATTTTTGTTTGTCTTTAAAAACCTGTATGACGTTTTTTTTCTGCAGCACAAGATGATATTTTTAAAAAGTGTGTTTATTTGGAGCAGTGTTGTTTTAGACCCCACTAACTTGCACTGTAAGGACAAAAGTCATGCAGGTTTGGAAAAACATGAGGGTAAATGATAATTTTTGGTTTGGAGTGAACTATCTGGGTGTATTTAACCCAGAACTTGCCTTAAACAGCAATGTTTCAAAATTGTAAAGGAGGTTGTGATAAACGCTCTCCTGCAAACCTGAGAAATCTGTTGAGGTCTCCATGTTTCATATACTCAAACACCATGATGAGAGGGTCGCATTCTACACACACGCCATAAAACTTGACAATGTGCTCATGCTGCAGGTTGGTCAGGAGCTCTGCCTCTCGGTGGAAGTCTGCTCGCCCACTTTCGCTGGCTTCTTTCAGAGTCTGCGAGATAAAAATGTATGATCTCTTATTACAGAAATACCTACTGTAAAGTCTCATTTTGTAGCCAAAACTTAAAATGTTCACAATCCATTTTACTTGTGCAATTTTGATGAATGTTTCGTTGTGTAAATGCACCATACCTTAACAGCCACCAAAATCTTCTCTTGGTCAGGAGACAAGTTGTAACATTCAGCCAAGAACACTTTCCCAAAAGCCCCTTCTCCAAGCTCCCTCTTTAGCAGAATGTTGTGTCGCTTTATGTGTTGGACGACTGCAAAACAAGGAACGCTCATAATTAAAATTAGATTCAGAAAACATTTGAGTGGTGCTTGTTCATACTAAAGCTAGGGCATCGTGTGCATCTGTCAGGGTGTTATTTTGTGGTCACTAATGTGTACTGAGTGCTTTTTTTTTTTTTTTTAGAACGTTGCAATGCCATTGCTAGGGTGTTCTAGGTAGCTGCCTCCTGGATATTCTAGTTTTGGGTTCCTCCTTTAACGTACATCTATGAGATTGTTTAGCCCGTTTCATTGTCCACAAGGTGAAAATAAGTTAAGTGTTGTTGTTCAATCATTAAAGTCAGCAAAAAACAGAAGTTGTGATCGTTGATTGACCGGATTGTGAAAAAGTGAGCTTGCATACTTGAATGGAGCATTTGAATGTGTTTGGATTAACTGCAGTGTGGTCCAGTGTTATTGTACTATTACTGATATACAATTGTAGTTTTTGTTAATATTTTGAATTAGATTTTATTTTAATATTTTTTGTTTTCATTTTAGTTCAAGTTTTTAGCAATTTTGTTCTGTTATATATATACATGATTCAAAGACAAGATGTCTTAAAATCAAATTCAGTTTACAAAACTGATTTTATATACACAGAAAGCATATTAAAGTAAAGTATCTACTTTAATGTTTCAAATAACTTTTGTGAAAAATAAAATGTCAAAATTTAGGTTTGATGCTTGGAAACATATATAAATATGTTTATATAGTTTTTATTAAGTTGTAGTTTTTAGTTTAAGTTAACAATAATAAACCCTTGTATACATCAGTAGAAAGAAGTGAGTCATATAATAGAAAGGGCAAGTTATGACATTTTGATTTAATATAGCTTAGAGGTCAAAAAAAGATATATGCATGGATTAATCATTCATAATAACACCAGCAATAAGAAAATAAATAGGGTCAGTTTTGCTTTCATGATGACTTAACCCTACATATGAGCAATGGTACAGGATGCTTGCTATAGCAAACACCACTAATAGTCCATCAGGTGTTGGTAACATTTACAGATGAACTGTGTTAGATCCTCAAATGTAAATGAATTGAAATAAAAAAAGCTTGCAGATACATTTACAGTCCAACAGTGATTAAGTTGCAAAGCGTCAGCCACCCCTGATATCATCGCCATGGTGATAGAAGGGGAGGTTACTATGACAACTGACCAGTGACAACCTAGGCTGAAATCTATTTCAGCGGATGGAGTGGGGCCGCTGACGGCCCAGCATGCCACGGCAACTCACGAGTGTCCGATTTCAGTATGCTGCCGGGGTTACGGAAGTACTGGGGGTTCTCAATGACTGGAATCTTTGTCATTCCGATAATAACGGCATCTGGGCCCATCTCCGATGATGATGGCGTGTTGTTGCCGTTGGAAACGTGGTGGAGGGGGCTGGCAGAGTCATCGTCATTACTAATGACAGATGAAGAGCCTGGTAGAGACGGAAAAAAAAAAAATAATAATTCATAGAAATAATAGGAATTCACATTCTTAATATACATGCAAATGTGTTGAAAAGTGCATTGCTATAAGAGAAGAAACAATAACCATGATTTTTGTTTAAAAGGTGCAACTAATATTGTTGTTAAAATATTCAAATTCATATTATTCTATATTTGTATGTGATATGTTAAAGCAATAGATGACGATATCTGCCTTTACTTTCATAATGTGACATATTTCTTAGTAAAACAAGATATTCAACTAGAAAAAAAAAATGTAGGCCAGGATTTTTTATTTTTATTTTTTCATTTCCAACAGGAACCGATTCGATTGTGAAACGTGGGCGTTCCAAATCAAAATGTAGACAGACTGCTAAAACTTTTGCTAAAACAATGCTTAACAAAAGTACTTACATCTTACAAACACCTTACAAACACATATTCAGCAGAAGTGAAAAGCTAAAGTGGTGCACTTACCTTTCATACCAAACTTGGAGCTTCTGCCATACTTGAGGAAAACTAACATCAGGATACATCCAGTTAAAGCAACCCCAGCTATTCCAACCACGATGTAAACCTAGAATATAAAATTGTACAGTAGATTTTACTGAAGCAAGCACGTCTCTAGTCTGGGGTGGGTTTGAATTGAGTTAGCACAGTAAATCTATCAAATTTACAGAAGTAACACTGCATCAAAGAAAGGCGCTTATAAATAGAAATTGCTTGCTTTAACATTACTTGCTTTAATATTGTCATAAATGGAAACTGTCCAATAATGAATCAGACGATTAACAGAATACTGCTGGTGAATATCTGTTAAGCTCTGTCAACAGTATCTGCGGCCTGCTGTCGATTACTACATAAAATAATGTGTCTAGTCTCTCAGTTTGTAAAAACAAACAAAAAGAATGTGTACTTACAAGGAAAGTCTATGGGGAAAGATTCATCCACCTAGAAAGGTAATCTCACCTCAACAAAAACGATTTAGACAACTTTACAGCTCAAATAAACTATTTTTACTGAAGTGCTTAAACAAAAGTACCAGCTTTATATTTCTGCCTTCAACCTCTCTAGAATGCTGGCCCCATTGACTTTCAGTGTAAGTACAAACTGATGGATGGGTCAAAATAGTTTTCTGTAGAAATAAACAGCAGTCCACAGATGTTGTTGATAGAGCTTAAGATGTATTTAAGCTCAAATTTTCCTTTAATCACTCTATGCAAAAACATACCGCTACTTTGTCCTCCAGTGGTGGGGTATCTTTAAAAAAAAATAAGGCAGATAAAACAAATTACACTATTTAAAGGACTGCAGTTCAAAACTATAAAAGCCTGAAGGCCAAATACATGTAATGTACATGAATAGACTTACCTGGACTAAATGTTGTGTCTGTGTTACATCATTTAAATGGAAATAAAAATGGAAATGGATTAACATTCTATAAACGTCACAATATTTTTAATGGGGTACAAAGAGCAGCTGGGTGAATCTCATGAAAACCATTCAGAAATTTCCAGGTCATATGTCACCTCATATATACTTTTTAGAACTATACTTTTTTTTTTTTTTTTTGGCATTGTGGCCCTATTTCTTAAAATGTATGATTTTTTTTTTATTAAGATGTGTTAAGTACCATTAATAGTATAGTATTTCTTGTACTGAACTTCACAATAATGATTTAAAATAAATAATTGCATCCAAATAGGATTTTCATGAGTTCAGTACAAAATTAAGAATGAAGAACAGTAATGAAGGTTTTGGTGAGAAAATGTGCTTAATTTTCATAGATAAATACTGTCACAATGCTAAAAATCTTCAAGGTCCTAAAATAAATTTCTGTGTTTTTTTTTCTTTCTTTCCATTTTAGGGTAAAATATTTTGAGAGGATATTTTGGCCCCACTTTATATTAAGTGGCCTTAACTACTATGTACTTACATCAAAAAATTAAGTACAATGTACTTATTGTGTTCATATTGTATTGCAAAACACTTTTGCTGCTATTAAGGTGGGATACGGGTAAGGTTAGGGACAGGTTTGTTGGTAAGGGTAGGTTTAAGGGTGGGTTAAGGTGTAAGGGATGGGTCAACAGTGTAATTATAAATGTAATTACAGAAATTAATTACAGATGTAATTACATGCTGGTATTTTTAAAATATAAGTACAATGTAAAAACATGTATGTACACAATAAGTGCATCGTACCAAATTATTAATTTAAATGTAAGTACATAGTTGTTAAGGCCACTTAATATAAAGTGGGTCCGATATTTTTTAAGGCAATATTTCCTTTTTAAAGTTTCATCCAGCTGACTTTGTTCTATTTAAAATTTTGCTTGGTTTAATTCACCAAAATATTGTTTCACAAGACAACTTACCGTAATAAAACACTCCCTCTGTGGAAACAAAAATATGACAGATGTTTGCTTTTACACATTAATAGACTGTATTATTTAGAATAATAAATAACACATACATTTTAGAGTGATGCAAGAAAACCCGAGCCCACCTGTCCCTGAGTGGTCCTCATCAGGTGTGTGCATGAAGTGTGCCGACACGTTTCCCCTGTCCTCTCCGAACTCATTGCTAGCCACCAGCGTGTAGATGCCGTTATGGATATGAGTGGGAATGTCCAGCTGCAGACAGCCGTGGTACTCCGTATCCGTGATTTCATGGATTTCGGTCTTGATGTACTGCTGCTCCTCCAGCAGCTTCCCCTCGTGGTACCAGTGCAGATCAGGCCTCGGGTTGCCCGTCACAGTGAAAGGGATGCACCAGTCCTGGTTCCTCACGGGCTGGTACAGCTGCACGATAGTAGGGGGAACTGACCCAGGAGAAAGAAGAAGGAGCAGAGGAACGAGAGAGAAGGGAAGAGGGGAGGAGGAGAGGAAGTGTAATCACAGGATGTACCACAGGAGTAAACGAGAGGAACATGGAAACTTTCGCTGTAGTTTGACGAAAGGAAAGTGTCCGACAGCACATGGAATGGAGGGGCAGTATAGAGGGATTCTAGGGTGAGAAATACAAGAGAATGATAAGAAATGAAGAGGCTTACCGTAATATTACAAAACAACACGAAGAAACATGCAAAAGTAAAATGGATTGACAAAGTTTGTTAACTGATTTGTCGCTGATAGGCGGAAATGAAACGTTATGTTAGCGTAACATATAGAAGTGTTATGTACATATAAAAAATGACTGATTTGTTAAACGAACAGATCACTAAAAAATGAAAATTCTTATTGTTCAAAACCATATGATTTTCCAGCAAAATTTCCAAGCTGCTCCTCATGATGAATTGAGCCATGCTTGATGTCAGTGAAGTCAAAAGTCAGTTTCTCGCATTGATTCTCATGGCCGTTTGAGATATTTTTTTGAAGCTTGGCAGACCGTTTACTGTATATACACTCTACCATTCAAAAGTTTGGGGTTGGTAAGATTTTTTTTTTTACTTATTCCTGTGATTGCAAAGCTGAATTTTCAGCAGCCACTTGCCAATGTAATACACTCATTTGGTGCTCAAGTAACATTTCATTTTATTTAAAAACTGTTTTGCTGCTTAATATTTTTGTGGAAACCATGATAAAAATGTTTTCAAGATTCTTGGGCCTGGTTTTTTGAGCCTGGTTTCTCCCAAGGATTTTTCTCCATTTCTGTCACCGATGGAGTTTTGGTCCTTTGCCGCTGTCACCTTTGGCTTGCTTAGTTGGGGATGCTTGACTGATTGCACTGACACTATTGGACGAGAGCTGAACTGGATGATGACATCACTGAATCATCAATGAACGGACTTTAGCTGGAAAAATTACTCTTTGTTATTGTCTTCTTGCATTATTGACAAACTATTTTCCTTTTTGACACTGTAAAGCTGCTTTGACACAATCAGTATTGTATAAAGCGCTATACAAATAAAGGTGATTTTTGATGAAATGTGAGAGCTCTTAGACCCTGCACAGACAGCAACGCAACTGAAATGTTCCCAGACAGAAGCGTAGCAAGGACATCGGTAAAAGTCCATGTGACATCAGTGGCTCAACTTCAGTTTTTTGAAGCTACGAGAATACTTTTTGTGCGCAAAGAAAACAAAAATAACATACCGTATTGACCCGAATATAAGACAATGTTTTTTTCTTGGAAATACATCTGAAAAAACGCGGTCGTCTTATATTCAGGGTCTAGACTTTGACATGTCAATAATACACCCACAACAATAGGTGGCGCCAAATACGCATAAAACGAGTGTGCCATGAAATACGTAATGTAATGCGTGTTGTAAAGATCGCCAGTAAAAACAAAAGAAAAAGAAAACCTGACAGCTGCATGAGTCGTGACTGTC